GAACTGCCGATGCTGGAGTCAGAGATAACACAGTGTGGAGCTGGAGGAACACAGCAGGCCAGGCAGCATCAGAGGAGCAGGAAAGCTGACGTTTCGGGTCAGGACACTTCTTCGGAAATGGGGAGGGGGAAGGAGAGCTCAGAAATAAATAGAGAGGAGGGGTGGGGTTGGGGATGGTAGGTGGAATGGTGATAGATGAGTGCAGGTAGGCAGTGGTGGGGATTGGTCAGTAAGGTGGGAGGAGTGGATAGGTGGGAGAGAAGATGGACAGGTTGTGTCAGGTTAAGGAGGCAGGAATGAGAGGGAGGGTTTGACATGGGCTGAGGCCAGGGGTGGGGAGATTTTGAAACTGATGAAATCCACATTTAGGCCATTGAGCTGTAGGCTCCCGAGGCAGAATAGGAGGTGCTGCTCCTCCAGTTTGCGGGTGGTGTCATTGTGACAATGGAGGCAGTCCAGGATTTGAAAATGGTGCTTTTCAGTTGAGTTAAGGAAAACAAGCCACCTGCCCTCTCAAGTGGTCATAATAGATCCCATGGCACTTCAGTAGTTTTAGTTTGAGTTTTAATCACTATACCAATTTCAGACTGAAGTATTTTGACATTAAAAAAAGGCAGGAATCCAATGATCCCTTAGTGGCTGCAAATCTCAGTGGTTTGCAATTGCAAACATTTTTTAAGTGTTAATGACAAACTAACATAAAAAATGGAAGCCTGCTGTCACTTGCATTCATAATTAATCCCCTACATTTTCCAATATACAGGATGGGTGGTCAAAACAATGCTGTCTATTGTTCTACTTTTGTAGGATAGTTTTTGCAAAACATGTTCAGCGACTGAGGTGGTTTATTTCCTACACTTTATAGCAATTGAGAAATCAGCCTAAACGAGTTTTGCATTCATATCTTCTCAGGGACAATTTCTCAAAACTCATCTCTCTTTGGAATCTGATAAAAACAAAGTACTTGTTCATAGCAAGCTAACTTTTATGCACAACTAACTTGAACAATTTAGAGTGTAGACTGTTCTCATGTTGATCGAAGTAATCCTGCTGGACACTTAACACTGAGTCATTCACTATGCACATTATAGGTAGGCTTAGCCTGTCCTCTCATGTCCTACTACTACATTTCCAATAGTAATTATGACTGATCAGACCTAGTTCTCCACTCCACCCTTTCTAAGGCACTGAGGCAAACTCTGATACTTAAACCAAACACTGCAGATTTCGGTGTACCTTCACGTGTACAGTTCAGTCTAATAAAATCCAAAGTGCTTATTGAGCATATGTGCATTAATCAATTTATTACTGCTGGGAAGCAAAATACTCCATTAAACCACATTTGAAAGGAAATTGCTAGTGGTTGTGCATAATTAGTATAAAGTATTTATCCAGTGACCAAGATCATCCGGGTTGATGTCTAGGTCTGGATGGTGGCTACTTCTTGGGAGTGAGAAATCAGTATCTTTTAACATTTAATTAACTTCCCTAGAACTGTAATTCTGGAGCTAGGGCAGGATTGGATTCAACTGGGTTTTGAGTGGGATATTAAAAGGAAATTACAGTCAAGCATTAGAAGACTAATGTATAATGGGCACCTAGGTGACATTTTGCATAGCTACAGTACAGTGTACCTCAGTTAGAAGTTGACATTGTGAATTTAGGCAAACCTGAAAAGAACAGCTTAAAAAATAAAGGCACAAGCAATATCAATTAATGAATCTCTTTGCTTTCCATTGGGATGATCCATGCATATCCTGAATTTGCTCCCATTTTCATAAAAAATTTACTGCTTTATTGCATTTGATTATTGATACTTGCAATTTTTGACTTTTATTCCCATAAAGTGAGAGTTGACAATGTCACAACAAGGAAATCTGAGTATCCGAGACCCGAGGGAATAAAGGCAAGCAATATCCTTAACCCAATTATTGGATTGTGAAATTAACAGTTCAAGGATTGAAAGAGAGTGGAAATTACATAGGATGAAATTCAATAATGTATCTGGTACAGAAAGAAAAATAAAAGGGAAGCAAAAGTAAGATTAAATTGAGACAGAACAGCTAAACAACAAAAAAAATTAATGATTTTAACATTTCAATAAAATATAAAGGATTGAATTTCCACTGGTAATAGTTAATTTTAATGAGAAATATTGATTGACAATTAACAAGATTGTGAAAATATTTAAACTGAACAAGACAAAGTTGTAATGAGTTGCGTTTGCATACGTGTGAATTCATTTTGTTCGTATTATTCCATGCATTTTAACTTAGCCAGAGTGAGATCCTGTTCTCAAAAAGCCAACAGCATAGCTGATCAATTCATAACTTTTGGTTATTTAAATTTAACCAGAAATCTGCCCCTAGCTATACCATTTCTACATAATTAATGCCATTAATAAATGTGACAAAGTGCATTTGTGTGCTTGTATGTGGGGGATGGGAGGGTCAGAGAGAAGGCGAGGAGAGAGGGAGAAGAAATGTGGGGAGAAAATTAGTTAAAGCATTCATTTTCCTTTTGGACATAGAAGTTCCAGGTTAGGAGAAAAAAAATGCTGATCCCTTCAAAATGACATTCTGAACTAGTGAAAACATTCACTTTAAACCACAAAGTTTAGAACGAAGACGATTCGTACTTGGAATCAGAGAGCTTGGAACATGCATTCCCGAATATTATATTAAACTAATTGATTTACTCTAGCCAATATTTAATTAAGAGTTGTGAACTAAGATGCTAGAATCAACATATTTCTGTAGGAATTCAGTCATTAAAATATTGAAACAGGAATATCTTGGTGTATTTGCTTTATTCATGGAAAGGTACAGACATCAAGAATGGAAAGCATGATAATATGGTTTAAATTTTCTCGTGTTGCAAATACAACTTAACGCTCATTTATGAAACCATAAAACTTTAAATTATTGAAATAGTTGAGTGCAAGGAGAACCCCATTATTTTCTATATATTTTCCACCAGAAATAAATCAGTGGGAAAAGGCATTCTCACCAATAAAAGAACTAAAGTAAATTTAAAATACTAGCAGTTACATATAGGTTTAAATATTTTCTCAGTGTAAAACAGAACAGAATAACATTACATTTGAAAGCATTATACAGTTCCCAGTGTGCATAAAACTGCCTTCAGTGCACAGCCCAAGCTCACTCATATTCAACCTAATTACAACTTGTCAATTCAGATGCTTTTGCAGGTCAGTTAGCTGTGCCATAGCAATTTACCAAAATTGCATATAGCTACATTTGTACTGACTTGTTGCAACTACAAAATGCACGTTTCAATAAGATTCACAGTACTTTTATTCAGAACAAGAGCTTAATATACTTTAGCTAACTAGGTAAAGATTGCATTAAAAATATCTAGTTTCCTCTTCAAGGCAAGATCTTTCAAGATTATGGAAAATTTTGCAATGAAAAATGATTAAATACAAAAAGCTCATGGGTTTTCCTGTTCTGAAGTCATTTGACTCAAAACGTTAATTGTTTTTCTCTCTCTCCACAGATGTTGCCATATGTGCTGAATATTTCCAACGTTTTTATTTCAAATTTCCAGCATCCACACTATCTTTGCCTTTCTTTTAATATATTCTTTCCACTTGATCTAAATTATTCCCTTGTCAAAGAAGTTCAAACATGTCAAGCCTTTAGTTGAGGCAAGAACTGGGTTTCAAAAAAAAACTTGCAAGTCCATTCATTTCAATGTTTGTGCTACTGTAAACTAAACAAGTTGTGTTTAGTTATTTTAGTACACCTGGTATCGTATTAGGTCAAATGCTTGAAGTACCCCAAGCACATCCTACATATATCTCATGAGTACGTCATTACTAATTTACCACTTTTCAATCAAAAACCCCACTTATCAGCTGCAGAAGTAACTTCCTCACCTGACTTATTACTTAGTAAAAAGGCTAAGTTGAAACCATATATTTGGACAATGCACTACATTTAAATCTTTTGAAGCCTTATTGCAATGGTTTAGCACTTATTGTTCAGGTATGGCCAAGTCTCAGAAAAGGTATCCAATTTTAAGAATGAAATACAGACACTATGAAGAGGATGATAATAATTTCCATTAAATGCTTTCCCATAAACCACACAGAAGTTTAATACAAACTGGCTACAATTTCCATTAGGATAAATAGCTCAGATAACATAATACTGTAAGTATTCAAGAATCTATTTCGTAACAGCCTTCAATTATTTCTGAGCCATGTTTCTGAAAGCATTTTAAATTGACAAATTTGATAGAAAGGAGTAACTTAATATAGACTGGGTGCTATTTTGCCTCAACAATGAAAAATATCGAGCACAAAAGGTGGAATTGTATAGGAAAGATAATATGAAGGCATTAAGGTGACTTTACAGATATCAAAAATGGTACATCTATTCACTGCATCATTCCCTCCGAGTGCAATGTGTGGGGTGGCTTTCTGTGACTAGCAGAAGCCACAGGGTAAACTACTGATTGGACATGTTGAGTTGAAGGACTACTGTACCATTTCATTTGGACCACAACAGCATATGTTTCATTTCAGTACCTGCTGTAGTGAAACAGCATACCCTGTGTGTATAACTACAACCAACTGCTACAGATCAAATGACATCGTACAATGGCAACCAGCTCAGATGACATGGTACAATGGTCAATCTATCTTCCATCTGTTAGTACATCATTTGCTGCTGCAAAGAAAAACTGAAAACAGAATAAACCTGCTATCATATATACAATATATATACACACACTTATTAACAAACGATTGGAATTCAGATATTGGTAATTTGATTAAACTTCACACTCAGATCATCTAAATCTCTCATGAGTATCCCTTTATGCTATCATTTACATACTGAATTGCTTTGAAACAAACGCAGGAGTAATGCTATTTACGTTTGAATCATTTCACACTCCAAGTGCCTCATTAGGCAATTGAGATATATTGTTCTGATTTAAGTTGAAAAATAACCAGAGCATGAGAAAATGTCTTCAAAACTAAATGCTCTTTTATTTAAAGGGAAAAAAATCTTTTTAAATCAAGTACAATTTAAACTATCTTCTCCCACCAGAACATGCTGGGGATAGGTTTGTTGTTTGAGTTTCACAAGCATAATAAAACAAAACAATTTTGCATATGCCCATTTATGTACACCATAACAGTATATGAAACATTTGTATTTGTCAAGCAGGTGATAACCAGTATGCTTTATAGAGTTATCCATTACTTAACGGTTACAAATGTTCTGAAATTTGAGTGCTCTGTAGAAATTAAAATTAGGCTGACTGTAAACTGACATTTTTTTTTTGCAGATGTGCAAATCCCAGCAGAGTACAGATGTGTACTTGCTGGTTCAGCCATTTGGCATAGTACGTAAGCCTATTCGTTCCAGTATTCCAGTGATTTTCCTTAGGCTTCTGAAAACATGCTTCTTGTTGTATGGACAATACTGAGTGTCACAGACATTCTGAAAATAGCCGACATGTAGCTGAGAAAAGTTGTGTTTGGTTTAGGGAAACACTGAAAATAGCAGACCAGTAAAGTGGTATTAATGTTCAAACGCTGTTCATTTTGTCCTCTACCGATCCATTTCATCCAGCAATGGGGTGGCATCACCTGCGATGGACATTGGGGTGCCTTCAATCATGGGACTAGGTGAAGGTCGAGGAGTCATCTTTGCTTTCTGTTTTCGTCTTTCCTGTTCTTTTTCCTGTAGCCACTGTTCTGCTATCTTACCCCAGTCTACGGCAGTGTGAGCAGTTGAAGTCCTAAGTTAAGGGGTGATAAACTGTCAGTTTCTTTGAATTCTTGTTTTCACCATGTTAAGCTTTTTTGCTTAAGCTGTACACCATCCAAAAGTACATGCATTTCAATCTGAATTCTGGATTATTGTCTGACATTGCTACATGTGGACTGCGGATATCAATCTATACATTGTCCATTCTGTACCTGAACTTTAGCCATCGCTTAGAGAATTAACTCCCATTTTTATGTTGCTATGTGACTGATTCAAATGTTTTAGTTCCTATTTTTATGTACAAGGCAATCCCAAGTCTTTGAAAGTCAATAGTGTGGACCCTGGAGCATATTCTTATCTTGGTGCCCTGAACATATAGTTTGGGACAACAGGACTGCAGATTAGGAGACAAGGTGATACCTTTCCAACTCCAACCTTTATATGCACCCTCATTAAACAAGTTTCCACTGTATACACCCAGTACACTAGCTGGGTTGTTGACAAGTAAAATTTCAACTTTAACACCATGCTTTCAAGCTACGTAAATATAGAAACTTTCAGAACAAGAATAAGGCCATTCATCCCCTCCAGCATATTTTGACTTTTTAGATCAACTAATTAGATTGTGACAGAGGATTACCTCACCTCCATTTATCTGCATTTGACCCACATTTTGGTGGATATTTTGAATCAACCTGTTCAGATGTGTTATAGCACACCTCTGAAGTAGGTGGGGCTTGAACCCAGACCTACTGGACCAGAGGTAGGGACATTACCACTGCACCACAAAGCCCTTCCCCGTATCCTTACCTTCAAACATCCATCCCCCTCAGTCTTTAAAAGGTTCCATCTATCCAATAAGCACAGCCCTTTTGTATTAATTTCCAGATTTCCACCGCCCTATTTTTTATTGAAAAGGTGCTTCCAAATTTTGCTGCCCTGTGACCTAGCTCTAATTTTGAGATGATACATGTCTGTTCTCGATTCCCCTGCCACAGAAAGTAATGCTTTCCTATCGATCCTACCAAATCCTTTTAACACTTTGGATAGCTTGATCGGGTCACTCCTTAATCTATCATAATCAAAGGGATACAAATTCTTCAAATCTCAGTAGTATTCTGGTGATTCTGCATTTCGTCCCTTCAATGGCTAATATATTATTTGAAGTGCAGTACCCAAATTAAATAGCACTTTAAACAGGTCTGACAAAAGCTTTACAAAACTGAACTATAGCTGCTTCCTCTTCATATCTTAGTCCCTTTGAAATAAAATACGACATTCCCTGAGCCCTTCTGAATTGGTCTACTAGGTATTGACGGCTAATGTATTTAAAAATCTGTTACTTTACAGTTCTTATTTTTCATTATTTAGAACATGATCCGATTTACCTTTCTTGGGTCTAAAATGATTATCTCACTCTTGCCGACATTGAATTTAATGCCATGCTTCCCCCCTCCAGCATCCTAGAAGCCGGGAACCCCACGAGTAATAATGGAAAATTATTTCTATCTATGGTCGTTTACAAAAGGAAAAGTAAACAGTGGAAGCCATGAAATCATTTTCAGTTCAGAATAATCAAGGATTGATTTAGATTAGAAAATCACGGAGATTGAAAAATTGTAGGGGAGTTCACAGGAAACCTGATTAGGGTCAGAAGCAAGCATAATTTCTCTCCTAAAAAGGAGTTTTTTTCCTCCCCCGAGCAGTTAAGTGAATAAGTTATCTCAGCAGGAGATTTTAATTTGTACAACTTCCAAATCATAGGTGTTTGTTTAGAAATCTAGTTATTAAAAGCTGAGAAAGTATAAGCTTTCAGTTTTGAGAGTATTCATACAAGATGACTTTACAGTTCATATTACTGGGAAGAGTTAAGTGGAATTCAAGACTTGAAATGTGTGGTGGTAATTTCTCAATTTGCTTTTCTGGAAAATGATGCTTTTAGCAAGAAGTACCAGTAACTTGGTTTTGCTGTGTGGTTTAAGATTTTTTTGAAACAGTCTTCTGTACCTGGTTGGCTGTTTCTTTTTATTTCACCTTTTGGGTAATACATTTCTGTTCTGTTAATGGAACTCTATAGCCTTGTGTGACTAAGTTTAAATAACTGACCACTATTAATTGAACTGGCTGGGATCATAACATAATCAACACCTCAAAAATACTCACTTTGGCTGCGATCTTTGTCGTGTTGTAGATGGTGGTATGACAGAAGCTTGAGGTGTAGCATTGCCATGGTACTGCGGTGTTGTCATTGGTTGACTGGGTGTTGTGTATGAATAGCTTGGAGTCATCAATGGTGTTGCTACTGGCTGCTGTGCAGGAGTTGCAAAAACCTGGTAAACAATAAATACCTCCATCAGAATCAGTTAAAAACAACACAAAATAGATGGCTAATCTACAGATAGGAATTATACCCTTTTTGTTATATCTTAACCATAAAGATTTATCCAAGGATTCTATGGGAAGCGAGGGACGAGATCGCAGAGCCTTTGGCGATGATCTTTTCGTCTTCACTGTCCACGGGTATAGTGCCGGAAGACTGGAAAGAGGCAAACGTCATTCCCTTGTTCAAAAAAGGGAACAGGGATAACCCCGGAAATTACAGGCCAGTTAGTCTTATGTCAGTGGTGGGCAAATTATTGGAAAGGGCTCTGACAGACAGGATTTATGATCACTTGGAAAGGCACAGTTTGATTTGTGATAGTCAGCATGGATTTGTGAGGGGTAGATCATGCCTCACAAACCTTATTGAATTCTTTGAAGAGGTGACCAAACACGTGGATGAAGGTGGAGCAGTGGATGTGGTATACATGGATTCAAGTAAGGCGTTTGATAAGGTTCCCCATGGTAGGGTCATGCAGAAGGTAAGGAGGCATGGGATAGGGGGAAATATGGCAGATTGGATTCAGAATTGGCTGACCCTTAGAAGACAAAGGGTGGTAGTGAATGGAAAATATTCAACATGGTACTCAGTTACGAGTGGTGTATCACCAGGATCTGTTCTGGGTCCTCTTCTATTTGTGACTTTTGCAAATGATTTGGATGAAGGAGTGGAAGGGTGGATTAGCAAGTTCGCGGACAATACGAAGGTGGGTCACGTTGTGGACAGTGCGGAGGGCTGTTCTAGGTTACAAAGGGACATTGATAGAATGCAGAGCTGGGCTGAGAAGTGGCAGATGGAGTTTAACCCTGAAAAGTGTGAGGTGATTCATTTTGGAAGGACAAACTTGAAAGCAGAATACAGGGATAACAGAAAGATTCTTGGCAATGTGGAGGAGCAGAGGGATCTTGGGGTTCATGTTCACAGTTCCGAGAGCTGCCACCCAGGTGGATAGAGTTGTTAAGAAGGCGTATGGTGTGTTAGCTTTCATTAATAGAGTGACTGAGTTCAAGAGCCGTGAAGTTATGCTCCAGCTATACAAAAGCCTGGTTCAGCCACATCTGGAGTATTGTGTCCAGTTCTGGTCACCTCATTACAGGAAAGATGTAGAAGCGTTAGAAAAGGTGCAGAGGAGATTTACCAGGATGTTGCCTAGAATGGAGGGAAGGTCTTACGAGGAAAGGTTGAGAGAGCTAGGGCTTTTCTCTTTAGAACAACGAAGGATGAGAGGTGACTTGATAGAGGTGTACAAAATGATCAGATGTATAGATAGAGTAGACAGCCAGAGACCTTTTTCCTAGGGTGGAGGTAGCTGTTACGACGGGATATAGTTTTAAAGTGAAAGGAGGTAGATATCGGGGAGACGTCAGAGGTAGGTTCTTTACTCAGAGTGGTAGGGGCGTGGAATGCATTGCTGGAGAGGGTAGTGGAGTTGGGCTCATTAGCAGCTATTAGCTAGGCATATGGATGATAGTATAAGGTAGGGGTGGAGGTTAGATAGACCTTAGGTTTAGGGTAGAAGTTCGGCACAACATCATGGGCCGAAGGGCCTGTACAGTGCTGTACAGTTCTATGTTCTATGTTCTAAAGAGTTACCTATTACCTCAACGCTAATAGAATTTAAAAGAAAACAAGCTGATAACCCATATGCATTTGAGGATGCAAACGTGCCTTGAAGAAATGGTGAAAAATTAAACTGCAGAAAATATTAACACAATAACTTAAGAATTATACAATTTGCATTTTCAATTGCAAATATATTGTTTCTTCTTACTTTGCTGTAATGCAACTCAGTGAAAAGAATGTCAAAACAAAAAACAAAGGGAATTAGTTTGAGCAGATCTGCAGCTTGGAAGTAATGTTATAGTTGGATGTTGCTCAGGGTTGGTTTAGTTGGTATTTGCTGGCAAGCACCCAGTGGAAATTCTGCTGTGCAAGTTCAACCATTGACCAAGTTCAGTTCCTGTAAAGAGTTGAATTTGTTTGAGACCATGTCATCTTTGGAGTTGATATATTGCCAGTTCGGAGATTGGTCAGGCAAAGTTGGAAGTATCGTCAATGACCTGCAATTTCTTTTCTCTACACTAGGGAGCAGCCCAGAACATGAAAGATCTCAAATACTGTGCTGGTACATGGATGAACATCTGGACGGACTGAAGACGAGGCATTGCATCATTTTTCACGTGTTAAGCAGCTTGGCTGTGGTGGTTACAGAAAAGGCCATGGAGACATTTTAGGATTTCACACTGCAGCACAAAAACACTAAAAGCTGTTTGACTGCACTAATGGCATGATGGATTGTATCCCACTATCTGAAGAGGGTATACCGAGCAGGAAGAGTGCTAATATTTTCAGAGCCAACTCCTGACATTTCTCATACAAAAACCAAAAGAACTGCGGACACCGCTGTAAATCAGGAACAAAAACAAAGTTGCTGGAAAAGCTCAGCAGGTCTGGCAGCATCTGTGAAGGAGAAAACAGAGCTAACATTTCGGGTCCGGTGACCCTTCCTCAGAACTCAGTGTCTTTTACAAAGTCAAGGCATTGTAAGGGGTGAACAGATCTGAATAAAAACATTTTCCACATATTGCCTGCTTTATTGTGTTTTCATTTAGCATTTTCTTTTTGAAAGTGTGTGTGTGTAAGCTAATACAGACTGAGGCTATTTTCCCTGGAGCGTTGTGCTGAGGGGCGACCTTACGAGGTTTATAAAATCATGAGGGGCACTGAAAGGGTAAATAGGCACAGTCTTTTACCTGGGGTGGAGGAAGTCCAAAACTAAAGGGGAAAGATTTAAAAGGGACCTAAGGGGCAACTTTTTCATGCAGAGTGGTGTGTGATTGGAATGAGCTGCCAGAAGTAGTGGAGGAGCTGGTACAATTACAACAATTAAAAGCATCTGGATGGGTATGTGAATAGGAAGGGTTTGGAAGGATATGGGCCAAATGCGACTAGATTTATCTTGGATAACCGGTCGGCATGGATGAATTGGACCGAAGAGTCTGTTTCTGTGCTGTACATCTCTATGACTGTCTCACAAAGTCAATAATAACATCAGCTGTGATTATAAAAAGTGTTTTACTTAAAGGCCAGCTAGCAGACTATTGGAGCACGGAAAACGAAAGGGCTTCCAATTATATACCTACCTGACAATGTGGAAAATTGCCCAAGTATGTCCTGTACACAAAAAGCAGGACAAATCCAACCCAGCCAATTACCGCCCCATCAGTCTATTCCTAATCATCAGTAAAGTGATGGAAGGTGTCATCAACAGTGCTATGAAGCAGCACTTGCTCAGAGACGCCCAGTTTGGGTTCCGCCAGGGCCACTCAACTCCTGATCTCATTACAGCCTTGGTTCAAACATGGGCAGAACAGCTGAATTCCAGAGGTGAGGGGAGAGTGACAGCCCTTGATATCAAGGCTGCATTCGACAGAGTGTGGTATCAAGAAACCCTAGCAAAACTGGAATCAATGGGCATCCGGGGGGGGGGGGGAGGGGGGGGGGCGGTGGGAGAAGGAGAAACTATCCAGTGGTTGGGGTCATGGTTGTTGAAGGTCAATCATCTCAGCTCCAGAACAACTCTGCAGGAGTTACTCAGGGTAGTGTCCTAGTTCCAACCATCTTCAGTTGCTTCAACAATGACCTTGCCTCCATCATAACGTCAGAAATGGGGACATTTGTCAATGGTTGTACAATGTTCAGCACCATTTGTGCTTCCTCAGATACTGAAGCAGTCCATGTTCAAATGCAACAAGACCTGAAGAATATCCAGGCTTGGGCTGACAAGTGGCAAGTGACATTCGCGCCACACAAATGCCGGGCTATGACTATCACCAATAAGAGACAACCTATCCACTGTCTCTTGACATTCAATGCTGTTACCATCATGGTGTCCCCCACTATCAATATCCTGGGTGTTATCATTGATCAGAGACTCACCACATAAACACAGTGGCTACAAGAGCAGGCCAGAAGCTGGGAATACTGTGGCGAGTAACTCATCTCTTGACTCCCGAAAGCCTGTCCATCATCTACAAGGCACAAGTCAGGAGTGTGATGGAATATTCCCCACTTGCCTGGATGAGTGCAGTCCCAACAACACTCAAGAAGCTTGATACCATTCAGGACAAAGAAGCCTGCTTGATTAGCAGTACATCCACAAGCATGCACTCCCTCCACCACCAACGCTCAGTAGCAGCATATTGTACTATCTGCAAGATGCACTGCAAAAATTCACCACAGATCCTCGGACAGCATCTTTTAAACCCACGACCACTTCCATCTAGAAGGACAAGGGCATCAGATAGATGGGAACACCGCCACGTCCAAGTTCCCCTCCAAGTCATTCACCATCCTGACTTGGAAATATATCGCCATTCCTTCACTGTCACAGGGTCAAAATCCTGGAATGCCCTCCTGAATAACATTGTGGGTCAACCGACAGCAGGGGGAATGCAGCGGTTCAAGAGAGCAGCTCATCACCACCTTCTCAAGGGCAACTAGGGACAAGTAAATGATGGCCGGCCAGCGACTACCCGCATCCCACAAATGAATAGAGAAAAAAAAAAAGCACCTCTCTGAACTTGATGAAAACATCCATATTACAGAGGTGGTGGTGCTGGATGTCTTAAGACACAAAGGTGGATAAAATCCCCGGGACCTGATCAGGTGTACCTTTGAACTCTGTGGGAAGCTAGGGAAGTGATTGTTGGGTCCCTTGCTGGGATATTTCTTTCATCGATAGCCACAAGTGAGGTGTCAGAAGACTGGAGCTTGCCTAATGTGGTGCCATTATGCAAGAAAGGTGGTAAGGAAAAGCCAGGGAACTATACACTAGGAAGCCGCACGTTGTTGAAGAGAATCCCAGAGGACAGGATTTACATGTATTTGGAAAGGCAAGGACTGATTAGGGATAGTCAACATGACTGTGTGTGAGAAGTCACGTCTCAC